TTAAAACTTGTTCATTCAGATAACTACTCTGAACATAGATTGGGTAAACACAAACTGCAGCGTAAAATGTGCAGCAAATGAGAGATGAGAGAGGAGGGAAGAAACTAAGACAAATATCCAAAAAAGTACCCTTTTGAATAAGCCTTACAGAGACTCATGCCATTTATGAAGGCTTATTGTTGAGTTGGACTCCTTATCCATAATCTCGGCTTTGAAAACTCGGAAATGTCCAAACTGCAAGATGGAGGCTCTCTTTTTGAAATAATTACAATTTGTTTTGTTGGTTCATTGCTATAGGGAGGTTAATAGATGTACTTATAGAATGGCTAATGTAGCTATATATGAGAAAGACTAAATCAAGTCTAATTTTTAATTAAAAAACAAACTTGATATATCTTAGAGAATGGGACCCACATCTATCTATGGTCTGGATATTACTTTTGATTTAGGATACGAATTAACTTCCTAACAAGAAACAATACTATTTTAAAGCTATGGAACCTACACTGCATACCTTTTACAATAGAAAGAAAGAGAATGCCACCAAGTGGTTAAAATTTCATTTAATAATTTATAAAAATATATATATATATATAATTTTAACTTAAAATATATAAAATTGGTTAAAATTTCTAAGATATATATCATATGTAAATTCATAATTTTTAATTATTAAAATTTTTATTTGTATAATTTTTTAAATTAAAAATCACTTTTTTCAGAACAGTGGATTTGATAAGTCTAATTTAATATTATATTTTTGAATATTTTGCAAATAAAATTTTATTTTTTGTAATTAATAAATATGTTGTCATTTAATGTAAATTAAAATATTAATTAGTAATTATAAAATTTGTAAGACATATATCATGTGCAAATTTATAAATTTTAAGAAATAAGGTAATTATTCTATTATTAATATTTTATTTGTATAAATTTCTTGTGTTTAAAATCATCTTTTTGATATAAAATACTAAAATTAATAGATTATTTATTCCATTTAGTTATAAAATACTAATTTTAAACATTATTTATTTAATTAGGGTTGTTAAAGATAAATATTGATTATTTATTTTGATAGACATTAATAAAAATTTGATATTTCATTAATTAAATATGATAGTGCATGGCATGGTCATGCGATTTGACGGAGAGCTTAAGGCTCTCGTGCCATGTTTTGCGGATGCTATTAGCAAACGCGGCGTATTGATTGGTATTGGTGTGTATATACAATGTGATACGGTCTGATACGCGCGATTTACCGGATACGTTTCCATTGTTTCCTTGAATAGAACATGAAAATGAGAGCATAGGGGAGAAGCGCTCTAGGTATAGCACCACACAAACCCTAGCTGCAGTAGATGGCCAAAGAAGGAATGTAACCAACCACTGGCGAAACTAAAACTCTGCAATCGAAAAAATGAAAATGCTAGAAGGTTGTGAGAGAGTCAGAGATAGAAAGGCGGAGACCGAGGCGGCTTCTCCTTCGGCGAATCCTTTTGCTTCGGGAACGTAAACACCAAGAGAGAAGCACTCCAGATAGAATGGCTTGCTCGGCAAGCCTTCGCAAAACATGGCGAGTGAAATAAACTGATTCCTGAGGGCATTTTGAGGGAAAAAATTAACAAGTTACTGATTCATGAATCATGAGGGCATTCTCACGTCTCGCTCGGGTAAAGAGAGCAGATATGTGATGCAAATAGATAGACGATAGGATGTTGAGAAAGGGAGAAAGGAGGACGATAGAGAAAGAGAGCAGAGAGGAGGTTGATACATGAAGAGGACAATGAGAAAGAGAGAAGAGAGGAGGACGATTTAGAAAAGAAGCAGAGAGGAGGATAAGAGAGAGAGATGGTGAGAGCGCTACAGAGAAAAATAAGGGGATGAGAGGCTGAAGGGAGAGAACAAGGAGGCAGAGACAGTGAAACTGTCGAAGTCAGTGCAGCTCAAAGATAAGGTTCGATGGTGTCAACTTTGAAAGACGTCGCAAGCGTGGGAGACCTCGTTTTGCACGCTCATTCGTGCCATTACCTAACTCGATCTCAGTCAGTCAGGGTACCACCGCCACTGCAATTGTTCCCCTCTCCCACACACTCTCTTCTTCTTCTTCTACTCCATCTCAATCAGTCAAGGCACCACCGCCATTACAACTGTTCCTCTCTTCCACTCTCTCTCCCACACCCCCCCCTCTTTTTCTTCTTTTTTTGCTCGATTTCAGTCGGTCTCTCTCCCTCTTCTTCTTCCTTCCACCTAGGTTTATGTCTCTCTATCTCTATATCAGTCTGCTTGATCTCAGTCAATCGTCAAGATAACGTCAGGACCTCATCTACTCTCAGTCAGTTTACTTGATCTCAGTCAACAACTACTCTCAATCAGTCTGCTCGATCTTAGTTAGTCACTAGGATTATGTCAGGCCCTCAGCTCGAGACACCTTCAATGTCTCAACCCCTCTCTATCAGCGAATTTGGTTAAAATAGGGAGTGACGGAGCATGCTGTCCAATGGTTAAAAGCATGAAAAGGAATCGGTCGTACAATGGTTAAAAAGCATGTTGTGTGAATGGTCGGTATTGGAAGCATATTGTCCAATGGTTAAAAGCGTGAAAAGGAAGCAATGGTCCAATAGTTAAAAAGCATATTGTGATCCGATGGTTAAAAGTGCGCCCAATGGCGGTACTGAAAGCATGTTGTCCAAATGGTTAAAAGCGTGCCCAATGGTTCATGCTCAAGACGATCAAACATAAAATTTGAGGTACATGTATGGTCAATAATATCTTTGGCTTACGTCTTGTTAAAAATGAAAATACACTATGAATCAATGAGAACAATAATATCTTTCAATAACCTCTTGTTAAATATGAAAATACATTTCTTAAAATATAAATCAATGAAAAATATATTGATTTAACGTGCAGCCAAAGTATGGTTAAACTCTTAATTAGAGGAATATTTTATCGGATGAACTCCTCACAATCATGCATTGGAAACTGTGGGGAGTCCATACGGTGCCTGCTCATCAACCCATTTGTGAGGTAAATAATTTTCGCACCTCAGAACAAAGATGTCCCTTTTAATAATAAATTTTAATGTTTAAAATGGTCATTATCTTATTTACATAAAAAAATAAAAGAACATGAATAAATACACTCTAGTAAACAAAGCGTAATTAGGATAAAAAGAGAATCTTTTCAAAACAAAACAAAAAAACTCAATTTACAGTCCAGCTCTCAGTTGGTTTACCATGCCTCAAAGTTCTAGTCTAGCTTGATAGGATATCAAAATACCAGGACCAAGCAAATTGGGTTGTGTGTGAAGTCTAAAATCTAATTTGAGCATAGAAAGATAAAATCTTACCCAAGAGTATAGGTCTCAAAAGACTCGAAACAATTAAAACTAACACATTGAAACAATTTTCCGAATAATAAAGGTTTACTGCTCTAGATCAAGTTTAAATATTGATGAAGCTCAACATCATACATCAATAACCAAGTAATTAAACCAGATGGCTGGTTCATTATATTGCTGGATCATGATGGCAACTTAATCAATTAGATAATTAGTTTTGCACGTCTATGTCACTGTCACCCAAACAAGACATTGGGCAATGGAATTTACACCAAAAATTAAAATATCAAATATGAGACCCCTCGTGCATTTAACCATCTAGGTTATAGATTTCTAAACAATAAATTTGGTGGTAGAGATCTGCCATAAGTATTGTGGGTCTGGGGCCTGGGTTGGGTTGGGTTGGGTAGTGAGGAAGAATAGGGATGGCAATTTCTATCTACCTAGCGGGTACCCACGTTGCTGGGGCATGTTTCTTTGCTTGAAGTACAGGTTTTTTGGTAGTAGGTATGCATAGAGTACAATATTAGTCTAAATCTGATCTTTCTTGACCCGCGTATTGTTGGAAAGCATATAAAGTTTATGTATTAGGTGTTGAATTTAATGTTATTTTAAATTTTATGTAAAGTACAATTGATAGTTTATGTGTTTTTGACATATATTAATCAAATAATTGAAAATTTTGTTGTTTGTTTGTGTTATTTTACTTATTTATTACTTATATATAACAAGAAATAATAGGAATTCTCCTACCCTTGAATGAAGAAAGGATAGGATCGGAGAGGGTTTTGTATTTTCATATGTGGGGAGGGTTTGGATTCTCAAAATCCAAGCCACTATAGATTTTGGGGCAAATACAGGCTGGGAGGTTTAGGGAGACAGATAGAGTCTAGAATTTATAAATAAATTTGCACTGATGCAAAACTATGGCAGTGCAAATAATTTGAATGTAAATCCTGACCTATTTTTGTTTCAAATTCTTGCTTATTTTGTTTGATTACAGTGCAAATGAAGTAAACCAAGACATGAAGCAGAATAAAGTAAAATCCAAAACAAAATTAAACAAGAATTTGCATTTTTTACATTTGCACTTCCATGCATTTATACTAATGCATTTTTTTTGCACTGCAACCAAACACAGCCTTAAGTGAAAAGCTTTTCAATTACAATTACAAATAAACATGTGCAAATTGTTTCTAATTGATTTTTAAAACATTTGTTAAGATGCTTGTTAGACCTGATCATGGGTTGCTCAATGGACCGTCCCAACCTGACCCATTTTTTGTTAGATTTAAACAAAATTTTAGGCCAACGGGCTTGGGCTTTCTCGAAAAAGCCCAATCCAAATCCCAGCCCGACCTGATAATATTTTATATAATAAATATAAATTTATATACTAAAATATATAATATATATTTTTTATTCGTTCGTCTTCTCTATTCTCAAGCCATAGTGGGATGACACTTTATTTTTGGGGTTTTGACATCGTTTAGTATAAATAAATTAGATTTATTATTGAGTAAAAATAAGAAAAAAAAAACTATTTTTCCAATCTTATTAATCAGGATTCGGGCTCAAATATGGGCTTCAAGCTTTATACGAGGGCCAAGCTCGGGCTCAATATTTAGGCCCAATTTAACGGACAAAAATGACCGGACAAGAAGGGATCGCGTGGCCGTGAGCCGGTGGTGCCTTTTCGGTTTCTTCTTCTTCCTCTTCTTCTGTGTTTGTTGAAATAGGTGAGGACTGAGGCGGCGAACATGCTAGCGGTGTCTGTTACCTCTCTCCCGCCACACCCATCAGTTACCAGACCCGTATCTATTGCTCTTGATTATCATAGCTCCCGGAGCATCCCTCCCTTCTTCACCAAAATCCCAACTCAAAGCCCCAGAAAATTGACAAGATTCATCGTATTTGCAGAAGACGATAGAGGACTCAACAAGGAGCCTAACGAGAAAGGGAAGAATGAGAATGGGTTCAGCGTCGAGGAGGATTTAAAACGGGATGCACAGCCAATAATCAATCTCAGATGGAAGGATCTGCTCGACCCAGATCCGCAGAACATCTTGGCCATCGGATTAACAGGCGTGCTCACATGGGCAAGCGCTCAAGTTCTCTGGCAGCTCTTATTAATCTCCCTTTCTATATTGGTTGCAGCTCTTAAGTACTCCTTCATTGCTGCTCTGCTCATCTTCATCCTCATTACCCTTCTTTGATAGGTCCCTTCTTTCTCTATCTGTTTGCTACTATTATTATATTCTTATTTTCCAGTCGTAAATGCCCTACATTTGAGGAATCTGGTTCCATGTACTGAATGTTCGATATAATTTGTTAGCTTTGTATAATTTTTTTCTTCAATTATCTGTATATAAGTTGGAAGCAGTACATCTTCCAGTTTGTTGCTCTCATGTAATTTCAGAACCATTTGTAGGTTTCGGATAAAATATCAATAAAATTGTATTTTTGTTTGAATTGACGGTGATGTTGTTAAGTAATCACAGTAATTGTGATGGACAGATGGGCTAATTCAATAAGAGTTTACTATCATTCAACCATCACAGTGGAAGTGGGGAATGCCAATTGTCAAATATGAGACTGGACGTAAGGATAAATGATAAGATAGTTAATCTATCACAGTTAGTCATTTTTCCATATAAATGTTTTCCTGTCTAATTGAGTGACTCTTCCAAGCTTGGATGCAAAAGCTTATAGCCAAATAACTTCACTGTAGTCGCTCCTTTCCTCTTTCAATGCACCCTTATGCTCCTAAACTATCACTACAGTCACCAATTCAACTTTTCTTTTTTTTTTTATATCGGTACCAAGAATAGATTTTATTAATAGAAGAAAAGATCGGGTGGCCTCGGCTACCCCATTACAAGGAAGGCATTATAAGAAAGCAAAACATCAAGTATAACTTAAGCATTACAACTGAGCCCAAAAACAATGCCCTGTTAACCCCTTGCTTTGCTAGTTGATCTGCAATATTATTAGCCGACCTCAACACCCACTGGAATGGAATTCCTCCTACCTGTTACTTAACAATCTTCTTACCTTTTTTTATCTCATTCTGAAAGTACCATGGGGCTTTTTCAAACTGTGTCAGCCAAGAGCCAACTGATGACTGTTTCGACAGCTTTTTGTATCCCAAATGCCGTAGCATTCCACTCTGCTGTAATGGAGTTCCCTGACCTGAGCTGAGAGGGCAGGAATGCCATAGCATTCAACTTTTCTTTTATGTTTATCACTTTTATCATTCTGAAATCAACAAGTTTTATGTCTTGAACTGCTGAAATGGCAATACCTCCAACCACCAAGAATAGAAATAGAACTTGCATATGCAATTTTGCATCTGCTATCAAACTTGCCATAAGAAGTGTACATCAATCAAGCCTTCATTTTAGACTCCAATTATGCCTAATTTTACTACAATAATGGCAGTCAGATTAATTTGAAGAGAATCCTAACCTAATAAGCTGTTATTTTGCTGGTTGAGCTGTTAATACCAATGCATGTACATTTTTATCAGGTCCCTGCCAAAGGATATACCAAAATGGTGCTTTCACTAGGTAATTGATATATCTTGATATGAATCCTTTCACTCTTTTTTTCTGGCACTATACTCAGTCGTGGCCTTCAAGATGCAGTTTTTATAATGATCTTGTTGCCATCAAGATTAGTGTTCGTGATGCCTGAGACTTTCATCAAGACATCAACTGAAAATAACAAAAACAATATTGTAAGAGATACTAAAACTATCCCATTTAAATTTGGAACTTCCATTTTGAGGGATTACTTACAAGAAGATTATAATCAAATTGAGGTTTTCCATCATGTTCAAGTTGTCTCATGCCATCAAATTCAATTGACAATTTAGCTACTGCAGTCTAAAATGGGGATAAATTGCAGAGTGGAATCACTTGTCTATAATTCCTATCCCAATCCCATTGTCCTGCTACCCCCCCCCCCCCCCTCCTCTAGGGCCAAACCTCTGTATGTCATACAGGAGAGAAGGGATGAAACAATTGTTAGTTTCTTCTTTTATATTCTTTCCGTAGTTCCTAGTAGGCCAATAGGTGAAGATGGGTTCTGATTTCTGAACCAGGTGTGCAGCATCACCATTCACCAACTTTAGTTTTTAAACAGCTTGTATGGTTTTCATTTTTCATCCTCTTTGCCAAATCATTTCAAAAGTGATTTAGATAAAAATGGTCTTCTTTGTCATATGATAAATAAATATTTGTCCCAATGAATGATTTAAGTTTTTCTGTTAATAACAAAAGACTTTATTTGTAACAGTTAAATGAGAGTAGAAAGTACAACATTTACAAAGCATAGAGAGCCCAATAGGCTTTTTTGGGGGATGGAGGAAGAGAAGAAAAAAGGAATTTCAGTAGCATAGAGTAATGAATCTCAATGCTATCCTCTATTCAACAGCTGCGCCCTAGAATATAATTCAATTTTTTCCACAATCCACTCCTGATCTAGCATGGATTTCTCTGAAAGAGTTGGATGATTTCGGCAACCATTTAAATAAGGTTTTCACTATAGCCATTAAAATACTTTACACTCTTCATCATGGTATAATATGAAGCAAGCAGTTAAGTGAGGGGCCTGATTCAATTGGATATGATGAAAACAGTGTGTGCTAAGTAGGGTTCATTGTTTGGTGCAATGCTAAAATCTCAGGAATGTAGGTTTGAGCCTAAGAGTAGCTACTTTGTGCAAAAATGCCATAGGTTAGTCTTGTATCCTGTTCAATCCTCCCAAGACCCTAGATGGCCAGGACCAACATTGGGTAACGGCCCTTTATAGTGTATGAGAAGTATACTGTGAAATTAGTGCAAATTTTATCTTCATAAAGGATGTCTGGACATGTTATAATGGATCTGGAGAAGGTTTTTAACTATATGTACTGGTTTTTCTTGGACATGGTGCTAGAAAAAAGTGTTGTGAGTGCCTAGAGAAAATGGATTAGAATAGAAGATGCCCCAGTACCATGCAGGCATGCAATTAATCAATGAGCTAGAAGAAGGTTTTTACCCAACTAATTAGAGCTGAGGCAGGGGGTCCCATTGTTTTATCTTCCATTTTTTTCTTTAGGCTCTGTTTGGGAAGAGTGCAAATACAAATGCTGTCATTTTTTGTGAATCTTGCATATTTTATTTGCACTCTTCCTAAATGGAGCCTTAGTAGCTGATGTCCTTAGTTGCTTCTTATCCAGAAACCAATCATGTGGTATTATTTGGGGGCTTCAGGGTTGGGAGGAACAAAGTGTTAGGTGACTTCAGTAAATCTGAACTCTGCTCTCTGAAAAACAAAAAGCCTCATTTAAATGGGCAATAGTACTGATTTTTATTGGGGCCTGAGTTGGAAAGCTGTTTATTGTAATATAGGGCTTACTTGTGTGTTTTCATGACCATACTTTTGGGACTTCCTAGTTTTTTTTTTTTTTTTTTTTTTTTTTGCTTTGCAGCAAAAATAAAAAAAAAGAACTAGTTGAATCAAGTTAGCCTTCTTTCCACCATCAATAAATTTTTTGCTGATCTGTTCTTGATTCACTAAAAAAGTTTCAACTGTTAGAAACAACTTTTCTACTTTTCCAGAGTTTTGAATTTAGAATCTTTTCTTTTTTTTTTTAATTTGAAGCTATTTAATATCCTGAATGCTGGAACCTCTGAAAAAACGTCCATGTCATAGTTTTGCCCTCTGAATATATGTATTATATACCAATCAAAAATACATAATTATTTATCTTGTCGATGATGAAATTATTGGAAGGTAATATTGTCCAAATGATCTCTTAATTTAATGCTGAATGTGTTTAGAGGGGAGATATTTCCACATTATTAAAAGACACTAGCAAGTAAGCAATAGTTTTCACTTCTAGGTTAAAAGGATACTTGCACACGATTAATAGACTTCAATTCATTGCAGAGATCACAAAAAGGAAGCCAAGAATCCTGGGGAATTTGATTAGAATTCCTTGTAAGCGCTTCGACAAAAACTCTGCAATCTGATTTAAGACTAATCTTCAAGCACCTTAAAGATTTTGCACAATGAACACCTGCCAAAGCAGCTTTAACTTCAGAGTAGAAACCAGATCAAATGACCTCGAGACTAGAAGCAGCATAAAAAATGTTTCTTCCTCCATCTTTAATAGATCCTAAACATGCAAAAAACGTTAGGAACAATTGAACAAAAGATCCATCCAACCTTGTCACGATCAAATTGCCATGGATTGATTTAGGGTGAGAGTCAATATTATCCACAGACCTGCAACTTGGGAGAGACATGGAGTGACGAGTGAGTCTCCATTCTCGTTATGGCCACCATGGATTTCTGCCCCAGACTAATTGCAGAGAGAGCAAGACGAAATTTTTTTACTCCCCGCGTAAACAAAGCCATTTCTAGACATCCAAATGCACCAAGACAGCCAACAAAATGTTAAAAGGAACCATTGGCCCTAATTTTAGAAATCTCTCTCGCAAGGACATTGGGGAGACTCCTGATATTGTGCTTGTACGGATACAATGAAACGAGGCTTTCCCGCCTGCCATTGATCCGATAGGTTGAACCATTTCAACTATCACCCGATCATGGTTCTGGATCTACTTCTAAAACTCAGACTTTGGCCAAAAATTGTCCAACCTGGGTGATTGGACCAGTGACGACTCTGCACACTAAATGTGTATGTAAACTTTAAGAAACTATAATTTTGTACTCAAATGACCATTAGGGTGATCTTTTCTTCTTGATTTTGGGTAACTTTTCTAGGTCTATGCATCCCAAGGCACTTTGCCCCCCTATTTTTGCCAAAAAAAAATACCCTTTTTGGGCCTCAAATATTAATTTTTAACATTTTTATAAATAAAAATTAAAATTTGATTTAGAAAATATAAACTAAACAAAAATAAGACTTATATATACATATATTACATGCAAAAATAATTATAAATTATTTTATTGATAAAATACATGTGTATATGTAAAAATAATTACACAAATATATGTTAATAAACATTGTGTAAAAATAATTACACACATATGGCATGGTCTGACCCATTCGACAACTGTCAAACCGGTGACACTAGAGGTGTCAATTGGATGGATTTGGTCCAACCCGATCTAGTCCAATGTGTGTCCACTTACAAATGGACTGGACCCAATCCAATCCATTAAAATGTAAATGGATTGGATTGGATCCAATCCAAACCGAATGAAATATCAAAAATTATATAATAAACACTTTTGGCATTGAAAAAGCACTTTTGTAAAAGTACTTTGACAAAAGTATTTTCATAAAAGTGCTTTTACAAAAGCACTTTATTGAAAGTACTTCGTAAAAGTGCTTTTGTAAAAGCACTTTTATAAAAGTACTTTCATATACTTTTTATAAAAGTACTTTTGTAGAAGTATTTTTGTAAAAGTACTTTTGCAAAAGTGTTTTCATAAAAGTGCTTTCGTAAAAGTGTTTTTTGTAAAAGTGCTTTCGTAAAAGTACTTTTATGAAAGTACTTTTGTAGAAGTGTATAAAAGTCCTTTTATAAAAGTATTTTTGTAAAAGTGCTTTCATAAAAGTGTTTTATAAAAGTGATTCCATAAAAATACTTTCGTAAAAGTGCTTTTACAAAAGTATTAAAAAATTGCTTTCATAAAAGTACTTCCATAAAAGTTTTTTTTTTAAAAGTGATTTCATAAGTGCGTTTGTGTAAAAGTGATTTCATAAAAGTACTTTTGTAAAAGTGCTTTCGTAAAAGTACTTTTGCAAAAGTGCTTTTATTAGTGTTTTTGTAAAAATGCTTTTATAAAACTACTTCTATAAAAGTGTTTTCGTAAAAGTATTTTTATAAAAGTGCTTTCATAAAAATACTTTTCATAAATCATAAAAGTGGTTTCGTAAAAATACTTTCATAAAAGTGATTTTATTCTGGCTTCAATTTTGATTGATTTCAAATTGGACAAGGGTTTGACCTTATGATCGGATTATTAGAAATTTGGTTTAGATCCAATTCAAACCAATAAGAATAGAACTAATTTATTTTGGATTGACACAATCCAATAATTATAATGGAACATCCAAATCCGATTTAATAAGATTTGGATTGGATTAGATCCAAACCAAAACCAATCATTTGACACCCCTAGGTAACACAATCCATAGGCAAAAAACCTGAGTTGGCTTTTAAAACATTAGATTTTATTAAAGCTTCAAGTACAAGTCCACTAGCCTGCAAACAGACAAATAACGCCTTCTCTTGAAAATGTTGCATTAGCAATTTTGGCCAAGGTTCAAAAAATCGTTACATATATATCATTCCGGGACCCCTACAGTGAGTGTATTGGGGGTCTGACCAGTTCAAGGGGTGGAAGAACCCTAAACCGGCCCCCTGAACCAGTTTAGAACACATTGAAAGGTGAAAACCGCTTTCAGAAAATGAATTTAATAGAAACACTTCTTGGTTTTCTTTCGTTCTTAATGATAGTCATGGAGGTAAGCTGAACTGACTCCTTTATCGGGGGAAAACCCCAAAGCAAAACTTGTTTATGCAGGTATTCCACACAAAGCCTCAGAAAATAAATGACAACAAGCAAGCAAAACCATCTATCTCTTCAGAAAAGAAAAGAACAATGATTAGTGTTTCCTTGTACAATCAAAATTGGAATGGCCCATTTGCCCCCACCAAAAGCCCACTTTTTAACCATCTTGAACTGCAAAAGCAATATAGATATTACTAAAATCACTCTTCCATGGGATGATTCTCCTCGGCCTGCTGATGGGAAGCCTTGACCTTGATCTTTGGAAGTGTGAATGATGAGTCCTCTCGAAGTACAGCAGGAGCCTTGACCATGTGGATGCTCTGCTCCAACTCCTTTGCAGCCTCTCTCTGCACCTTGGCTTTCTTTCCCTTCATCCTGCAGCATTTTAACAAACCCACACAAATGAGATTATAAGAACATATTAATTTCTTATTACAGGCAAAGGAGTTCGGATATGCTATGCACAAGATGTTCTCCAATTAGTCAGAGGTGGAAAGATGTTCTTCCAATGTGTGATGGTTCTGGACTCTGAACTTGCATGAATCCAAGGCCACAACTAGTGGAACTGATATCATCCATTGAGATTGGTACGAGCACCTAGCAGCAACCCTGTGCATAGTAGACCCAAACTCTACACAAAACAGGGGGGGAGAGAGAGAGAGAGAGAAAGAGAGATGAAAACCTCATGGCATGATGTCTGGCCTCTCTATCCACTCTGACTTTATCAATCTTTTTAATAGCCTTTAAGGTGTTCTCAGTGAGATTCCTGTCATATCTCTCAGGCCTGTTTCTCTTCCTCTCAAACTCGAATGTTGAATCCTTGTTTCAAACAAAATGAAACGGTAAGTAAGAAACCAACCACCTGTCTTTTCTGGATGCAGAAAGCTATATTCCATTTAGGATCTACAAGGAAATAAAGCTGAATCAAATCATCTTTACCTGCGTCATATCCTTCGCATGCAACCGCCTGTATGCTTTTGTCCATTTTACTTTGCGAGGATTCCTCTTCATTTTGAAGTTCTTGTGACATTTTGACCTACAAAACCGGAAAATCTGCATATGGAATGCTCATCAGGGTCCAGCAACATCAACCTCAAAATAAGACATGCATATGCACTATGCAGCATACATAATAATCAAAACTAAACGACCATTACCCAATGCTGGTCCCAGCTATCTGGGGTTTTGGGACGGGTAGGATGTAGTAATCAAAAGCGGCTTGCCCAATCAATGAGTAAAAACAACATCAATGTTGTGTTGAAACAAAATAGCATGTGTTTGTGCAATTAGAACTTAGCCAAAACACATTTACCCACAACCATGGAGCTATCTTTACAAAGTTGCATCCATCCATCCAGTTTGTTCAAGTTATAGTCTAAGCAAGACACCATTAATGCAAGTGATTAAAAACTAATATTATTAACTTATTTTGGCTAAACTTAAAAGTTTGTGACCTATTAGATAAAGATGAATATTGACTGGGAAAAGAAGGTTTACATGAATATGTAGTGCAGGTTGAGTCCAACCTGAACTCATCTAGTTGTGCTTAATTCCAGCCCTAGCCCATTACACGCTTACCTGGCAAATATAATGGTGCAGTCTGGGCAAGGCAAGACAAGTAACAAGCAGAGAAAGCGATACCAATCAAAAAAACAAGCAGAGAAAGAGATAAAGACTTGAGCCATTAAGAGGAGACGAGAGAAGTTATTTAGATATATGAAAGATGCAGAACTTAAATCCCTGAAAGTATTGAGCCTATACTCCAAGTCAAACCTTTGTAAATTCATTTCCACCAAACAAAACATGAAATAAAAAGTTCTGAACCTAGACTCTAAGCTAAGCATGTAGTTTCACTTCCATCAAACCAAGCATGAAACTAACCTAATTAGGAGCAAACCAGACTGGTGGCAGAGTGGACCTGTTTAACCCTCTCGTTTTTTTCCTTTTGCTATGCCATGCTTATTATGCAAAAATTATTATGAGATTCCCCATTAGTGAAGCTCATTCTAACAAAATATATGAGGGAGAAAGAGAATGTGTTAAAAATCGAATAATTTGGGTTTATTTGCATACATGGTCAACTAAGTTATTGGGCACAAGTGCATTGTTTTGTGTGTAAAGGACTGGTGGCACAAAAGTGTGAAGTTAGCACCCTTGTTTGTTAGTAGCAAATCTGGGCTAGCTACCCAGTGCTTGTCCTAGATAACAGGGGTGGACTAGATAAAGACCTAACTTCACTCATTTTAGCACAAAGTGCCTACTCTTAGACTTAAACCTGCATTTCCACACTTGCCGGCTGGTGAACTGGATAAAGACCTCACTTCACTCATTTTAGCACAAATTGCGTACTCTTAGACTAAACCTTCATTTCCACACTTGCCAGCCTGAGATTTTACAGTAGAACCAATACAATGAAAGTTGCTCTATCTTAGATGAAATGGTTGGATTCCAAAACAAGTCTGATTTTGGGCACCTATCAGTGCCATTTTCACCAAGTTTTCTTATTGAAGATTGTATGACTTCCTTTTATTTATTTTTTTTTATTTTTTTATAGGTAGTCTTGACAACTATCCTTATAAGTTAGTCAAAAAAAGGCAAAAGGATGAGGTAGAAAAAAGGAAGAGAAAAGAACAACTCTACCTTTGCATCATTGCGTACAAACTGAATACCATGACCAGGGTAAACAGTGGATGAACAAAACCAGCACTTTTCTAATCTCATTGTATGCGAGGATCAGGACCAACCTGGCTACATTACAAAGTAAAACCAACAACATAAAAAAGGAAACCAAATCCCAGATGCAAGAATGTCTCAAAAGAATAATAATGAATTTTCAGATATGAAATTGACCGTTCTGAATAGTCCTTGCAGTTAGTGACAAAGATATTAACTATTCAAAGGAATGTGCATGCATTGCAGACAAGAAACCATATAAAACTGTATGACGATCAATTACATAATTCCCTATGGCTACACACACACACCACTTTGTTGTAGAAGAACATAGACAGTTAAGAAAACAATTTGCTTAAGTTGAGAGAATTGTTCTTCAGTCAGCAAACCAAAGTTCTCAGAAAGAAGGGGCACTTTTCTTTTCTTTTTGTGGTGATATGGCTAACATGGATGGAAATGAATGCAATGTTTTTCATAACAAAAGAACTTGTCCAGAAGAAGTAGAAGAATTGGCAAAACAAGATCGTGGATGACCGTTTGCAAAGATTTTACGAGGATTAACTTTTAGCTTCCATATGTTGCATTTTTTAGGTAAACCACACATTACCCAATGTATAGCCATTTGTGTACAAGGGTCAGTTAAACAGCTTTACACTCTTTGCATGAACACATTAAATCTAAAATTCTTCAGGAAAAAAATCCACTCAAGTGGATCATGCCAACTATGTTTACATCATTTCATAGCATTAGTCATGTTCAATTTAATTGTACTTGCTTAACCACATTCTGCCATACTAAACAGCAGTCACAGATAATAGATTGCATCAGCACGTCAATTTGAAACTCAACCACCCCCCACCCCCAGCAGCAAAGGTAAAGAAAGGATGCAATAAACACTGTTAGGGTAGGGGTATTTCTGTCTTTATACCTAGATTAATGTTGTTGATCTGTAATGTTGTGTTGGAACTAGTGCTCCTAACTTAAATAAGGGCACATATGTGTCTGGCCGACTGGGAGTAGGTCATGTTGAGACTTCCAGATCAGAATTTCCCTCTCTCTTTCTCTCTTTCTTCCACCTTTCTACCTCTTTCTACCTAACTGATCTCAGACGGATAGAATTCTAAGGCAGGCCGATTCATAAGGGAAAGGGCTGAAAAGGAGTGATCGCCCTCTTCCCTTGGAGGTTTCTATGCCTCTAGTCAGGTCGTGTGTGGTCGGGTCGGTTGCTGTGATTTCTAAGATCGCCCTCCCCTAATCGATGAAGAATAGTGGGCTGATCTGTGTGGTGCAGTGGCTGTCGTGTGTGGACTGAATTCCTGCTCGTGTGGTTGTTACGTTAGTGATAAGGTAAGAGATCTCAGTGCATGATATCTGTTATGGATCAAATAGGAAGTGTGTTTCAGACCATATACTAGGGTTTCAGACAGTAATGTGCTAGGGTTTATGCTGGTTTTTGTGTATTTCGAAGGAAGAGTTATGATCATATAGTGGTGAGATTTCAGGTAGTCGTAGGAGTAGGGTTTGTGGTGTAAAGAGCACACTTTTCAGCAACAACAAGTGCTGAAACCAGTGTGACAAGTGTGATCTAGTTGTGTGCAGTGTGCAGAATTCAGTGGTAATAGAATTCAGCAAGTGTGCAGAATCGG